CCACTCCCTCCCCATACCCTCCCCCGAACACCCCCTGTAGCGTCTTTGAGTATTTACTATAGTTAAAAAAAGATACAGTATCCATCTATGAATACATCTCTCATCTTCCCATGTTCTCTTTCCTTTGTTCCTAGAAAAACAACTTCACACTCTCCTACGTTTCCTCCCGCACTCCATTTTGTCTCGTGCAGCGCAGAGACGGCTCAAACACGCCACTTCTACATCGGTCCAAACAAACATCCATGGACTTGCAGAAATTGGGCTCATTAACTCTTCTTTCTGTTTTGGCTCAAATTATTATTGGTGTGACAGGCTTGTAAATTTCAACCTAAAAGTTAAATACATTTTACTTGTGAAGATCAAGTTGGACAAAATAATGTTTTCTATACTCTGAAAAGTACAAATGTAACTTAAAGTAATAGTGACTTAACTATGAGAAAGGAGACTGCATTTGAATACTGTAAGTTTAACATTTAATAGGTTTTTCAGTATTACAAAAGTTAAAATCTCTCTATTTAGTGGAAAAAGAAGTACCCTCCACCAAACCCTCTCCTGTTATTTGTTGTGGGCTTGTTCCACATATAGTGGTCAGCAAGGTCAAATGTAACTTAAAGTGATTCTCCGTAATGTGAAAACTTTCTAATTAAACTAAACTTAAACTAAATTTCTGATTGCAATCAATTTAAGAAAAAAAGAAAATATTGAGTTTCCATCCCATTCTCTTACTTAGCAATAGTCCTATATGCATGAAGCACTTGAATGTCATTTATTTCTTTATCTTTTTCCTCTTCTTTTTGCTCTAACCTTTTTCTCTGCTCATTGCGTTTTTCACCCACATCTGCCCTGTCAATTCATTTATTTCCCGTCGATAAAGGGGCAGACGCAACAAGGTGATCTCACACTCTTTAACGTGGGAGATGTCCCTCTTCGTCTGTGAACGGACGCATTCGATAAGGTGTTTGCATTTCACGCTTTCTGTGTGCGAAGTGGAGAAAGCAAGAAGGGAAACTATTCTTACCACTTGTTTTTACATCTGGGCCATTACTCACTAATGAGCAAAATGTTCAGAGGGAGTTTAGAGATACAGCAGGTGTGAAGTATATTTCAAGGTTTGAATTTTTGTTTTAAAACCTATTAACGTGCTTCATTAGGCAGAACTATGGAAGGTGACAGATACAAGTTTAGGAACCGTGAAAATGGGTTACAGCAGGAAGACCTTCAGCACATGGCACGGGCCCAGAACACTGTGCTTCCTTATGACAAACAGGGCCTGGCATTGACAATATCCTCTTGACTGGTTGATTTCTAATCAAAATGTGTAAACCGCTGATAAAATGTGTTTAAAGAGTTGACCAAGTCAGACAATATTTGAGCCATATTGTCGTTTGGAGGCGACTGCGTCTCACGTGAAAACATCCACAACCATGGATTGATTGTTTGGAACTCTAGTTCCAATATTCTATAGATGGAGTACTTTTCACATCACTATATGGAGAACTTTTGCTTGGTGAAATATCTACAGCTGATACTGGTTAGATATTTTATTTACAGAAAGGAAACCTATGATTTCACACAGCTCTCAACATGGTGAGAACTGAGCAGGCACCTTGCAGCTAACTGTTAAAACGATACAAACAGTGCAAATAACTACATCGACGCTGACAGAGGAGCAGCCATTAGCCAGCCAATAGGGCACAACAGAGACGGCTAAGTAAACAAAGCACAAATAAACTCGCTTTACAACACAGAGGGACAGTGAGTTCATTATCCAAACAGGACGCCATCACTATAACACCTCTTTACAAGAACTGTTTGATGCAATGTCAATATTCTGAGTGTGGCACAGAGGACCTCTAAGGTATTATTTATCATTTCTGTCTGAATCATTTTCATCAAAACAAAGTGTAGGTGTCAAAAAATAGCATTACTTTCATTGTTCTCTCATAAAAAATGCTGGCAACAAGCGTCACACTTCTTTAAAATGGCTCTCCCGTTTAGTACAACCTTTTTACTATTGCGCCTCAGGCCCCTCTCGTCATTGGCTAAAAGCAAAACGAAACAAATCATCTTAATGTCAATAGTGTTGTTCACACAAAGTGCTACTTCCCACACTCGCTCCACGAGGCCGAGTTGCTGCGTTTGTGTCTGGATTCATGGGCAAGGTCACTCAGAAGGTAACGGTAAATTCTCACTTACTTTTTGAATAGATATAAGTGTTAATACAGGAAACCTGAGCAAGACTGAAAAGAAGTGAAAGAGAACACAAAGCAGAAGTCGGTAAGGAAGAATGACAGAAATGAAGAGCAAGGGAGATATGACCTGTCGGAAAAGGGAAGAGAAAGATAATAGAAAGAAAACAAGTGTCCTTAGTGTCTCGGAAATCACCCGATGAGCAGAAAATAGTTGCGGCGAAGCTTCATTTGAGAGGACACGCTGGGCTGTCTGTTCCCTAAAGAACTGTCTTCGTACAGAAGCGAGGCCTTTTGGGGACATTGCTATCATCTTAAAAGGGCATCTCTGTCTCGCTCTCTCTCTCTTTCTCCCTCTCTCCAAAGCGCTCTCGCTTTCTCCCCTCTCTTCTGGAATAGGGGGTGAGGCCATCAGGGAACAATGGTCATCTCTTTAAAAGGCCTTCTGGGGTTGAGAGAACATTGCTGCCAAAACTCAGAGGATCTATGTGCTAAATCAGTGGTAACAGAACACGCAGGGGATGGAGAGATTCAAGTGGGCGGCAGAACATGTTTATTTTTTATTTATTTTTTGTTGATTTGCATGCAACTCTGAAGAAGTTGGTGTTGGTACCAGATCGGCTCATTCAGATTTAAAAATATGAAGAAATTAAAAATCTTGCATAACATTCGGTCTGTAACACGCAAGTTATTGACAAACAAATATGTGCTTTCGATCTCTTTATGATTTCTTCATGCTTCTTTTGAACAAATCACACTACCGTTTTGCCCATGCAGCACATGCGGCTATCATCACATCATCATCATCATGGGTCAGTCTGACAATTATTTTAAAGTGCTTAATATGTAAAAGTGATCTGCTAACAACATCAAGAATTTAAAGGAAAAAAAAAAAATATTTTTTTTTCTTTAAATTCTTGATTGTATACTTTTATCTCAATCTTCTTTTATTGTTATATTTTAATATACTGCACCAATGTACGAAGTCAAATTCCTCTATGTGTACGTGGCAATAAATGGCGATTCTGATTCTTATTCTGATACACCCAAAACAGTATCATAGAACTCATAGATCTCATTTCATATCATTCATTTACCGATTCTATTTACCATTCTATTTCACTCTTTTCCAAGACCATCTTATTGTTTATGTAACCATGCCATTTACTACGGCGAGATCTGAAGTGTGCTAGAAGCGCTTCCAAAGGGCCACATTAGCCACGATTCAATATTCATCCAATATAAACTGCTTGGTAGAGCCCACCAGCTAGAGCACAAATTCGATACACCAATACAATGCTTTAATGCTTTGGAAGATTGAGGTGGAGCCCTCAGAGCGTATTGCAAAACAATTTGGCTGCAGATATATCCCATTAGAGATCAATGCATGCAACACATTAAATGTGTTAATTGACTACAATGAGTGAGATGAAGCCCCCGCTGCATGGATTAAATCAACACTGAATCACCTACTGCAGTAAACTATTACACTGCTCTCTGTTGGCAGAGAGGCGATGTCACACCTTGTGTTTTCCTCATCGGGGTGTGATCCAAAATGCAACATGCTGTTAGGTTTCAACTCCTTGGGAGCAGTGCACCAGCAGTCTACATCACCGTATGAGTCAGAGTTGAATTAACTTTCCGCATAGGAGTGCCAGAGAAAGAAGGTGGTGCAGGACCACATAGGTACAGTGAGAGAGCCGCCTTGAAGCATAGTGATATCTAGGTTTATGAAGTGCTAGCCAAACCAATACGGGCTTCTGGCAGTGTGATGGCGTGAAAAGGACGGAGCATGTACTTTGTTTGAGTTTAATACATTTCAGGATCCCAGCTCCAAAGAGAGGGTCCCTGCCGAGCAATCAAAAAGGTTGGTTTCAAAGCATATGTTAGAATATATATGTAACATTTGCACATCTACACGTTATGAATCCACCTACAGTATTCCCATAGAAAAGAGCAATGCGATGTTTCTGTAGAAGGAAGTTTAAAGACCCCTGCACAAGCAGTTACCCTTCATAAAAACAGATGTTATGTTCCTAGTCTAATGTTAGAGCTAATGAACCGTAAAGAGAGAGGGTAGACATATGAATAGGGATGGATATGCAGGGTAAAATGAGGCCGCATGCTCACACGTGGGCAGACGGATGTGTCACTGGCAAAAAGATGCGTAAAGATACATATGCATGTATTGTCCTGGTTAGGGGGTTGGTGTGCGTGTGCATATCCAACACATAACATAAAAGAGAGAGGGGGAGAGAGCAGTGCTTTTATTCCATTAACTCGCTAATCTGCTAACATGCTGAGGAAACTGTTACGCACGTGTGAAATCCACACCGCAGTTCCACATTAAAAAACGCGGTATTTCATATTTAGTCCAAATTGTGTGATCCCGTTTATCTGACATCTGTTTTATGGTATTAAAAAAAAATCTCTTCAATTGGCATTAACATAACTGACTCAATAAACCAAAATGCACTAGGACTGTGTAGCTCCAGCATTCTGGCGATGCAATGCTGCCCAGGCTGCAGTTATTGCACTCTGATTGTACTCTGAGGTTATAGAAAGGCACCTAGCTGACTGTAGATGATAAATAATAAACATTTTAATATGGATTTCTTTCAGTATGTGATCCCACACAATCAAATAAGCCATCTCATGTGATTAGTGGTTTTGTTATGTGGTTGGTGTAGTTACCTTAGCTACCTTAAATACATCCGTTTATTCAGTTCTGAACTCAATGTTCCAAATCAGTGTTCTAAAATCACAACCTTCATTAGAATGACCGCCAAATATGTTTCCTCATTTCCTTACCAAATTCAGAATCATAGAAGAGGATGAACTTCTGCCAGCTGTACTCGGACACCACTTGCATGATGACCTCATTGAGATAGACGGGTGGGCGGACCATTAGGGTGTAGTCGTCTGTTCCGGGGAAGCGACTGGTCGGAGAGCAATCGGAGCGCGGTGTTCCCGCCGGGGAGCGCTGGATGAGGAGGTGGGGGATGTGCATCGCATCGGCCAGAGTCTGCAGGCTGCCGGCGGACATGCAGCCAATCGAGCTGACCAGAGCCAGGATACCACGGTTCATCAGCTCACAGGCTGGGTGGAGGTGAGGGAGGCAGCGGGGAGAAGAGGGGGGGGGAACAAAAATAGAGGAATATGTTATTTTGAAAAGCACCCAAAGGAAATTGTGGTATGAGTGCACCAAGGTGAATAGTTCCTATTCTGCAGGTTACCAACATAAGAGACGGGTCAGTTCGCGGGAAAGCTGATTGTTCTCACATTCATTGCAGAAAAAATAAAGAATATGGAGATACGGCAAAACCATTTGGCAGCACGGCAGGGCCATGTTACAGGTATTTGTAAAAAGCACAAAAGGAGAGTTTTTTTCCCGCTGTACTCCATCGTCTATAACGGGCGAGGCTTCAAGAGCGTGGAAACACTCGTATCAAGCAGAGGCTCGATGTGTGATATGCCAAAGCGTGACTGCATGACCAAAACACTTGGTAGGGAGCATGCTTTTCTGTTTTTGTTAAGCACTACACTAGCCATTAAATGTCTTCAGCATGGAGCGAAGCGTGTGGCCACATTATTGATCGACCTTCGGGCTACTTCACGACCACCAAAAAGAGGTATCTCCTGGAACACCATTGAAGTGTATTTGGAGTTGTATTTTAAAACCGTGTCGTTACAGATAACCATCTTGCCGGGAAAATCTTGTTGTTTGTGCTCCCATGTATAACTTCTTCTCGGATGTAAGACACTTTTTGTACGCTTACTTTACCACCGTTTCTTTTCTTCCACTTTTCATCCTTCCTACACCTCTAGTACTGTCAAAAACGCCTCCACCTCCTACCTTCTCAAACCACCCCCCTGTTATCTCCCATCTCGACCAAACAGCCCCTCTGAGTGTTCACCTTTCAGCCCCAATCATTTCAAAGCTGCAGTCTTGTCGTGATTTGTATTTTAGTTGCCTCGAAGCGCACACTGAATGCTGTACACTGTCCCCAATTTGGAGTCATCAGCCTTCCTTTTCCACCTCTTGCCAAACATCCCTCTGCAGCACCTTTTCCATTTCAGCTCCATCTCTACCCACCAGCCGTTCTCTCCCACATCGTTAGTTATCCCTCCAGGAAACCCAAACAACCACCTGTCCTCTTTTCTTCCTGCGCTCAAGCTATATTTCCATTCATGCCCTCTTTATCATTCTATTTTCTTGCACCGCTCTTCCATTACTTTCACCCACGTGACCACTGGCATTTTGCCGTTAGTTATTGTCCCGCTTTTCTCTGTCCATCGTCCATCTAGTTTCCTCTCAAAGTTTTGCTCCTCACTGGGTCTAAAAATAAGATACACACAGATTCAAATGGCACAAAAATAAGAAATCTCAATGTAAACCACTCATAGTCAGCTTGAACAGTATAAGCGACACAGGCCACACTGTCGACACTGCAAAAACCAAGCCGAAGAAAAGAAAGAAAGTTAACAACAAAGAAAAGCTTGAGGAGACAGATTCATAATGCGGAGGAAGGCAGAATAAAACATTGTATATGTGCATGCCTGTGTGTGAGAGAGAAGATAGAGGCTATACAATATGATGGTGTCTCCTGTCTCATCTGGTTGGTATGAAAACAACCTTATGAGTTGGATTTCAAAATGGTTTATGAGGATGAACACTCTAAACTATAATATTGAGGTGCAACTTAGCAAAAGCAAAAGCTTATGTACAAGATCATAGACATTCTGGAGCTGGTCCAATCCAAAAGGTACAGTTTATAAGGTTTCCCCAACAATTATATTAGGGTGGCGCCCCCCCCTCCAAAGGCACCCTGGGTTGATTTTGCTTCATTTGATTTTCTATATAGCGCCAGATCACGGCAGAAGTCGCTTGAGGTTACCTTTCCTAAAGAACTGGTGTATAGCTTGTTTTTTATTAAACATACTAAATAGCCTCATGGTTTCTATTTCTTGCACACACACACACACACACAGACACGAGCGGCATCACATCCACGTTGTGTGATGAACCCTCAAGCTTTTTTTAACTACGGCCTATTGATAGTTTTAACCAAAATGCTAAACTCTCTGATCTGATATTTAAGCAAAGGAAGGGATTAAGTGTGAATGCAGTTTGAGTTTCTATGAATAAGCCAGTCATGTAAAATAAAGTACTTTATCGACTTTATTCCACATCCCTTATGTCGGAGTCATGCTAACTAAGACTTTAGCCGCATTGCTCTAGTCTATCTGTAGCGCATTAGCTTAGCATTATCAAGGCTTTGCTAATCCTCTACTTATTTGGCCACTTTGGAGAATTAGTTTTCTCATCCCCGCTACATCACACATTCTTAAGTCTGTGAGGAGGCTTCTCAGCACTAGGCTCATTAATGCTCTTTGCTAATGACTTAAAGGGCCCGTTGCGGTAACCCTGCCCAATGTTACATCATTCGGAAATATGCAACCGCTAGGAGAGTTTGACAGTACCTAAGAGAAAATCACGTTGCTAACGGTGTGAAAGGTCTATAGTATAATAGATTTTGAATGTAAATCCTGCCCGATTGAGTTTCGTTGTGTGCCTGGATGTTGTTTCCTTATAGCATTTGTATAATTATTATACTTGGAGGACAAAAGTAGACAACCGCATACTAAACAACACTCACACACCACTACTACCACCACCTCCATCACTAGCCCACACCCACTCACATTCCTGCAACAAGACTGCCAGCCGCAGGGATTACTATCGCTCTTAAATATCATTTATCTATTTACCTCTTCGTCTTTGAAGATGATGTCTGATTTCTGTGATTGTTTACGTAATCAAAAAGACCTTTATTTAACCATTACCTCTTACTGGTCTTTTCTGCGTTCAGCGACACTTATGACGAATGCTCGGCGCGCATTGCACATGTGTTGTCTGCACCAGAGCATGTCATTGAGCCCTCTCTCCACCTTGTCAGAAGAAACAGACTGCAAGCACTTCAACAGCACCCAGGTGTGACCGATTCTTCTCTCTATCTGTGGCTCTCCAAGCAGCTCTCTTCCCACCACACACACTTCATCACACTGATACTAATCCCACAGTTTATGTGGTCCAGTGACTGAGGACGGAAAGGGGAGGAAAGAGAGAGAGGGGTACTGTAGGTTGCATGGAAATCAATACCTGGAGGAAACCAATAAAGAAGTATGCCTGTATGCCTGCAGCTGTAAAACGTTTCTTGAGTAAGTTCGACACTATAAGACTGTGGCGACAGTTTTAAATAGTGTGAGACAACTCTATGTGTAAGCTACTGTCCTTGTGTCTATTAAATTGGTCTTAGTGTTTTTGCTGTGATCTTTTTACAGTTTATTTTTGGTGTTAGTTTCTTTACTGTATAGTTTTCATGTTTTTGTTATGTTTTTATTGCACTTGATCGATCTGGTCAACTTTTCTTTAAATATAGATTTTGATTGAAAACATATGTCTGCCTTTTTATGTAACCTGTTTGGAGATTTATTTTGGTAAATGAAAAGCATTTACATGCATAAAGAAATTAATTTCATTGAATACTATAAATTACATTTTTGAGACGATGTGGGAAACAACATTTTATATTTGATTGGAATAGTAAAAGAGAAAGTCCATATCAAAATCCCAAATCATTTTTTTAGATGAAGTGCTCTATTGTCCCATCATTGTCACGGTGTGGTTCACTTCCTGTTGTATTTTGTAGTTTTCTGCCACTCGTGTCCCCGGGTAACTTCACTTCCTGCCTTGTCCCGTCATCCCCTGTGATCGTCAAATAGTTTCCACCTGTGTCCAATCACCTGCACCTCCCTTGTGTATTTAAGCCGTGTGTCTCTTGTGTCACTTGTCGCGTCATTGTCTACTGTCGTGGATGTTCATAGTTTCATGCCCACGCATCCCTGACAATCGTTGAGAAGACAGAGAGCTTGATCACCAATATGTCCAAAACACTGAAACTCCTGGAACTTTAAAACAGATATTAAAAATTGTCCAAAGCTCTTACAGTAATGGAAATCTAAATTATCCAAACTTTTCAAAATCAAGAAATGACTGCAGGGTGAGTGAATTGAAGTAATTGTCAAAACGGCATACACAGTTTCGGTAATTAAAAATGGATTACGTTTTTGAAACGTTCAATGCAATCCAGAATTTTTATTTTATTGAACAAAATGACGAGAATAAGGGCGTGCTGATCATCAATAATTATGAATTAAGTACCCGATGGAGTACATTGATCCATCAATTATCTTGGTCTGATGTGTAATGCTCCAAAATTGCCCAACGATGGTTCTCTTAAAGCCAGTGATATCTGAGGGAAAGATACTATATAGTAAAATTAGTGTAGAGGACACTTTTCTGACAATTCACAAACTCACATCTTATGGTTTACATTCTCATTCAATCCCAATAAATGCCTGAGAAAACACTGTTTGTATAAGCTGTTTGTTTCGGGTTTTTTCTTTAAGCTTAGCTGACAAAACTCGGAACGGCTCAATTTGTGAGAGATGTACTCCATTATGTAAAGCAATAAGCTGAATGAAAAGACGTTGAGCGTCTGCTGGCTGTGACATGAGTACGTACTCATAATCAAGTGTTCGGTTTCAAATGAAATCCACCGACAGAGAGGAAGCGCCTACGGAACGGTCAATGCCAGAGGTGCGGCTCCATGCCTGGAACAGCGTATGTGTGTGGACGACCTGCTTGTGTCTCCGTGTATCTTTTCATTCATTGTTCCAGATCCACAGAGGCAAACTGCTGCCATGCGTTGTGTCATACAAGGCGAAGCACTGAGTGGCGGAGAGAGAGAGAGACGCTTACACTCACACCGCCGGCGGGCTGAAAACACGCTCGGCTTTGGAATTAACATTTGAATGAATGTGGTCAGGGAGGCAGAATGTGAAAAAGACAACATGCCCGTTTTGACTTTGTTTCCCTTTGAAATGTTATCGCTCGACGCTCTCCGACTCGTGGCACTTCCTGTTGCCGGATATAGCAGACCGATGATTTCTCGCAAACACAATCTGTTCTTACTCTTGCCTCCGGAGCAACTCCCCACCATCCACCCTGTTCCCATTAAAATTTAATGGACACC